GGACTTCACAGGTGGTGCGTTCAGCCTGCTCCAGATGTTTCTGCAGTCCTACAACAATGGTAAGCAGGAGGGCAGGGAGTCCTCTGTCCACTAAGTGCCGGCTGGAGCCCCATCTGGGTCAGCAGCCAGTTTCCCACGGGGCCCAGTCTGTTGGCCAAAGAAGCTCCCAAGCAGGGCATGAGAGACAGCCGTCTGATGCAGACATGCCGGCTGCCTCTGTCTGTCGAGGCTCCATTAACCAGCACTGCTGACCACCAGTGTTCCCTCTAAGCTGAGTTAGTGTGAGCTAGCTCAGTTTTTTAGCCTCCGGCTCACGCATTTGTGTCTTCGCTCAGGAAGGCTGGCTCCAGAGCACACTGATCTATGCAGTAGCCAAATCACTGGTTCACAACTTTAATGCCAGTAGCTTACAGAGCAGAATTTTTACTCACAAGACTCCACAGCTTAGAGGGAGCATTGCTGATCACCATTGGTTAAAAACCACACCGTGCATGGAAAGCGTCATTCCTCCCCTTTGTGCATCGACTGTTTTCTTAAAACTGTCTTCAGTTGTCAAGGCATAACCACAGCTTGTGGGCAGTAAATCTGAGACCTGAGTTTGATCTGTGAAGCTCCACCATTCATCTGTCCTACAACACAACAGCCAATTGTTGTTTCATTTTAAGTTCCAGTCTTATGAGAAAGGGAGGGGGGGGGGGACGACACCTACCTTCTATCCCATTTGCCGGCTTTTTCTAAAATGCTCTCACCTGCTGAAATTAAAATGTTTTCTGTATTCCTTTGAAAAACGTTGCCTGAAATGCTGCGGTCTCTCTTTACAGAATGCTTTCTTTCCTTCCTTTAGATGAATGGAGGCTGGTCTTCGGGGATCCCACCAAATTTGGTTTGGGTCTTTTCTCCATCATTTTTGACATCGTCTTCATCATCCAGCACTACTGCTTGTATAGATCTCCAGGCTATGAGCCTATGACTTAAAATCCCTGCCCTGACGAACATGGTACCTGTCCCAACTCCACCCACCATACTTCCGAGAGGGTTCCTTGCTGTGGAATCAGCAACGCCAGACTTCCTTCGCATGGACTACAAGAAACCACCTGTGCCCTACTTGCTGTTGCCCTTGTGCCTTCTTCATGTGTCCCAAGTGTGAACCTTAACCCAGGAAAGGCCAGCCTCCCTTGGTGGTGTCTCCAGAGGGATGGGCCTCTTCAGCTCAGGGGGAAGGAGGCAGGATACTGGATCTCAAAACACCGCGTACTGATCTTTTCACCTGTAGCCAATTAACATCTCCTGCCAACTTACAAAGTGATTGCCTTCAGAGAAGATGGCTGGGAACTGGAGGAATGAACAGCCATGCTTCTAGGGACCAGTGCCACGTGTCCGGAGGAACTGACGTGACTGGAAGGCCCCCGTTCCAGATCGGCAGGGGAGGATTCCTTCAATTTCGGAGGAGGAAGGAGGGGGTCAGCAAATGTCAGGCTCTCTCTGGGCACTTCCCTTTCCTCGAAAACTTTGTCCTGAGGCTGCCTGTGGCAGTTGGTGTGAAACACCCGGACCTGACTGTTAACAACAATTAAAAGTTTTTGCAACAGAACTCTAGTCTGTAATGGACTAAGGTCACTTTCAACATGATGGGTGCAAGAACGTACCCTGGACCACTCTGGTTCACTTAGCGTGTTGTTGTTAAATGGCTTTCTGATATTGCGCAGAGCTATCCTTCACCCCCCCCCTCTGGTGGCTGGAAATAAATCCTGTTCAGATGGACTGTAGCTGCGAACCAACATCAGTGTTCTGCCTGAATGCTTCCTGAAGGCACTGGGCTTTTTAGCCTCATGTAGTAGGACGTATGTTCTTACCCTTGATTAAATAGGCTTGCCCTGGAACAGAGTTCAGGCCAGGTCCCCCTACTGGTGCACAGAAC